TGTGTGTGTGTGTGTGTGTGTGTGTGTGTGTGTGTGTGTGTGTGTGTTGGGGGGAGTGGCAGGGAAATGCAAACAATTAAAAGGTTTGCTGGGAGCTTGGAGCCAGGGTGCCCTTCTGTGCTTTTCTAGGATTAGGGAGACTAATTCTGAAAGGGGCCCTTAAGATCAAGGGTGCTATGGCGGAGAGGAGCAGTGCACTGGGCAACTGTACCATCTTTGTCTCTGCTTTTTGCCCAACCTGGGGGAGCCTGCTAGTGCACTCAAGAGCACCGCTCTGGGTTTTCCACAGCTTCTATCTGGCACCGCACCTATGGAGAACTCATTTTAATTTAAATGTTCCCCTTCCAAGAGACCCCTCTCAGGCTTGGAACAAGAGATGGAACATCCCGAACACCAGAACTCCAGTGGCCACCAGAGCACAGGGAATATTTATTACCTCTCTGGATGTCATTACCTAAGAATACAATTTTATGAACTTCCTAATCTGTTAGCTTGATTTATCTGGATGGGCAAGAGCCCAAAATAAACATTTGGGGGATTTGGTGGAAAAAAAAAGTCTTTGCCTCTTACCAATCTTTTTGATAGAGCTGACAACCCCTCTCAGCCTGCTTTTTCTGCATTTTGATTTTTCTCCTGCAGCGTGTGGCTGCTCCGGGTGTTGGGGTTTTAGCTGCCTCTTGAGAATTAAACATGGGGAGGGGTGTGAACTCTGAGCCAGAGGCCTGAGAGGAGCATTGGACATTTTAAAACCTTCGCAGCTCAAGGAGCTCAGGCCCCTTTTGAACTTGGGAAGCAGATAGAAACTAAAGCCGATCCAGAGGTTTGCTTATCAGCCCTCTAAGGCCAGGAGCCCCTGGCTCTCCCTCCACTCCGAGGTGCTTTTCTTCTCTTCTCTCTGGGGTCAGTTCTGTAGCTCTTTGAACCCAGGGCAGTCCAGCAGAACCGACGTCCAGGCAGGCAGGGATAAGGGCCTCTGCAGCCCCATCTTCTTGCCTTCCTGTGTCTGCCAGGCCTAAGTGGATAAATCAGGAGGAAGGGAAGACAAGGATGGGTAGGGAATATCTCAGAGTATGTTTGAGGGTGAACAGGGTTACAGAGCCTAACAATGATGAAGGGACTATTTTAAATTTTTAGTCTGCATCCACAAATTTTCAGATTCCTGAATAGGCAGCATCCTCTAGGGTCAGCTCCGCCAGCCTTGATGTGGTATGAGTCAAACCAAAAAAGTGTCGCGTCTACTCACTCCCTTCTGACTCCCTCTCTTCCCAGCATCAAAGATTGGAAGAGGAAAGTATACAGTATTTTAATTTCTAGGCAGAAAAAAGCCTGGAACCGAGTGTGCAGGAGGCACTGCTAGATAGCCAAACCCTGGGTTCCACCCGGGGCTCTGGCTTCCCGGGAGGCCTGGCTGCGGGAGAATGGGACAAAATGTGACTATCTTCATGCGGTGGGGGTGTCCCAGTTCCCCTTCTCGCAGAGGCCCGGGTCTTGAGAATCGCAAAATGGGGCCAGGCCGGGCAAAGGCGAGGTTCCAGGGGCCAGCGGCAGCCCGGCTCCTCCTCCGGGTTCCACGCCGCGTCAGCCCTGGACGCGGTGTCGCCTTCAGCTGGGTCACGACCCCGGGCTTGGGAGGACAATAGGGCGCGGGGCGGGGAGCGCGGGCTGCGTGGCCGGCTGAGCGGGTTCACTGCGCGGTGAACTCCGCTCGGCCTGGGAGTCTTGCCCTTTAGATCTCAGCCTCTCCTTTCTCCCTCCATCTCATCTTCCACTTTTTCGTGGAAAATCGAGAGGACTCTCAATCGCTGCTTGACCAACACCCTACCGCTACCACCTCCAAATAATAAGATTTCATTTTCTTTAGAAATGAAAGAGTAGTTTTCTCCAAGTTACCAGAGCAGGAAATGGGACCCTCTCAGGATCTTCGTGGGGATGGAGAGGGGACATCTAGTTATCAGTAAAAGCGTTCTCCACCGACCTGGGACTCAGGAAGGCCCTGAAGGAT